TTAAAGTTTGAAACTGGTAACATCGCCCTCCCTCTCTCGCAGGGGACAATCACCAGTGAAGGTTGATAAAACTTAAGCCTAAATCTCTTTTTAATGTTATCCCGCACCCTTTCCACAAAACCACCACCCGTTACAGCTTGCAGTGACCCCCCCCACACACACACAAATACCCCCACACACTTCCGCATCACCGTGTTTCTGTCCATAACATGATCGGCCTTATCACCGCCCCTCCCGCCCCCAACCTTTCAACCCTCTCTTTTATAGACCAAAACAACAACAGCAACCCAGCAGGTGAACAAATCGCTATCCAAAGAGAAATGCGTCAAGCCCGACACACTACATTGGCATTACATGCGGATTACGAGCCGAGAGCTCAGACGTAGTAAGTATAGTACACGACCGCGCGAACCAGAACTACAACAACCGACATCACACTTCACCAGACACGGATTACGACAACAGTCACAACGAAAAAAAAAAATGACGAGAGGAGCAGACCACCCCGGAGCACCCATTAACCTCCTGCAATGACTATGAGAAGATCAATAAACAAAAGGCATTCACAGAAGAGCGAATTCATCAAGCACCGCCCCCACCGCACCCCTTTAGTCCAATCTCGAGTACAGGGTTTCAATAAAATCAGTCAAAGTATTTTTTTCACATTCAAAACGAATCCCTCTGTGTTATTACATCTATTTGAACAATCTGTCATTTAACTTCAACTAAAACACGGCAGGAGATAATCACTTTCTGAAAACAATCACATGCCACAATGACAGGAACAATAGAAATGTCAGGAAAAAAGCCATGTAACAATACCCAAACAACACCCCACCCCCACCCCCTCTCACTATCTCAGCTCTCATCAGCGAGACGCCCCACAACACAGAGAAGCTTTTCTTCTGACGTATCACTCCAGCTAATCTTTTAAATGTCCGTGCCCCAGATACTGAGCGCATCCCAGGCTTAAAACAACGATTATCTGACCTCTCGACATTTACAAGAAGATCTTTCAGAAACAAACCACTGGCATTCGGATCTTTAAATTCTAATCGAAGCACTATTCACGATTTTAAAGAACACAAATCCCGTACTTTCCCCCACAATAATATAGTCGAGATCGCATTATGTCTAGTGCAGGGTTAAAAACACCGACAAATCTTCCTTCCAAGATAATGACGGAGACCACATATGTCTAGTAGGTGGTCAAAAACACCTTCAACAAGACGTCTTTCAAGCCGATACCCACATACAAACGCGTGCACGCACACACACACAAACGCCCCCATCAAGCGCCGACAGTCTCGGCCCACAAGTCACACACCCCGACCCTGAACCAGAGCCCAAACACCGCCCCACCACACCCGACCGCCGGGAGCCCAAAAGCCGGTGGTCCACATTCCTGCACTACCGTAGTCTCTCTCGCTCTCTCCTCATTCATGAGTCAGAGAGAGATTCCTCCCCTCCCCCTCCCAAACACGCACAGGGTGAATCACGTAACCCCTCCTCCCCCTCCCCCGGCAATAAGTAATTGTCCTGCAATATTGTGGTCTATTTGGTGCACGCAGCATTTATAACTATAGGCGGGAGTTAGATGTACCTGTGAACGTTCACTCGGTTCTTATAAAAGCTTCATGCAACAGGTTCCAACTTTGGTACCCTTTTCCGATTGGACAATGGTCTTTCCCCCCTCCCCTACCCCCATTTTACATGATGTCAAAATGCCATTTTCACACAATAGAACACCAGAATCCTGCTTTGAATGGCTTGGGAAAAAGGAGGGGGAGGGGGGGGGGGAGAATGCTACATTCTGCAATCATAGCCTACTATAACATCCTGTTCCTGTCTTAAAAGTGACTTTTGGGGTTACATGAGTGCAGATAACAACAGGCAATTTTTCAGCTTCAGTTATGGGAAAAACCCCGCTCCTCCTAGGAATCTGATCTTCCACAATAAACAGAGGCAGAGGTCTTTTTTTTAAATTCAAAGATGAAAAACACAAACATTAAAAGGCAAAGAAAGTACACTCATGCAAAACGGCAATGACTCAGGACTGTAGAGCAGGAAGTTTGAAACAGAAAGTTTGAGAAAGTAGGCAGGTAAATAAAAATAGAATAAATTTTAAGGTACACTGGAAAGGGGGGTGGGGGGAAGTGAGGGTCAATGTTCTACCTTTAATACAACTTCAAGAGGGAAGCAAAGACATCTTTTGAAAATTCTCACAAAATTACAGTCAAACCAGCCCTGACGGCCACCTCTATAAGACGGCCACCTGTACAAACGGACACTTTCCATTTCCCCCCCCTTGCGTTTTTTCTATATAATTTAACTGTGTAAAACGAGCACCTGTCCAACGCGGCTGCGGCCACGATATTTTAACACACAACCCCTATCACACTAAGCAAAAACACCTGTCTTAGACGGCCACCTTAGTGACCCCATTACGTTTTGTCATAAATTGTGCATTGGCCCCTGGCGTTGTGGGCGAGCCATCATAATTCAATACCCTTTCGCTGTTGTTAGGTAGTCCCTCCAACCGATCATATTGCGTAGGCCCCTCCCACTGTTGACCAATAGGTACATGTACCAATTTTCACCTGCTGGTGAGGTAAGCGTGTGATCCCTCATAACCCATAAGCCCCGCCCAGAACTTGTACACAAATTGTAAGTGAGATGAGTGGTCACTGTTTACCCAGTCTGTAACAAAGTAACAAAGGAAGTCAACATGAACTTGCGACAGAAGCGTTGCTCGTTCTCCGAGTGGTGGAGACCCATGTGTTTGTTCTAAAAAGGCACTCGGTCTTCCTTGTCTGATACATTTAATTTTATTGTCACCCTTGCGCAAAATCAGCGACAAAATAAAAATTGCAAACAAAATACAGCCCAACAACAACAACAACAAAAAAAACAATGCGGTTACTTTCCATTGGGACCTCAGATGGGAATGGTTTGTTTTCTTCATCTTGATTAGTCCTGCCTAAGACGGCCACTTTTCTCCTTGACAATGGGTGGCCGTCTTACATAGGTTTGACTGTATTTCCAATAGAAAGGTGGTGAGACTAAACTGATTAACAATGAAGCTATACAAAATGTGATTTCCTCACAATAAAAAAAAAAAAATCATACGTTTGTTCTTTACAATAGCTTTTCTTTTTTAAAGAACATCAGATTATCATGAACCATACTGCCTTCTTACCACTTTCATAATTCTTTTCGAATACATTTCTTACCCACAACACAATTTACAAGTGTTCACACAAAACAAGAAAAAGACTTTAAAGTGTTTTTCTTTCCTTTAGATTTTAAAGGAAAAAAAAACAATTCAGAAATATAAAAAAAACCATGAACATTCGTTTAGTCTTGCAATTCTGAATATATTTTCAGCCGAAAAACAAAGTTTTCAAGGACAAAAAAAAATGTCTACTTAACAAAACAACAAATGGGGGTGGGGTAGGGTCAGTTAGAAACATGCATTTCTGGTAAGTTTTGGCCAATCTATTTTCATGAATTTCAGAGATACTTTTCCAAAAAAATAAAAAAATAAAGAACAAAAACTTTTCAATATATAGCTAGACAATGGCAGTCTCCTATGTGCACAGTCTCTCGTCTAGACTAGGTCTTCCAGCAGTAAGATTAAAATCTTAACGTCACTCCATTGAATTCAATTTGAAATTGAACCAGTAACCGAACTGACTGGTTTTGCTCCTTCCCCTGTTTCACATTTTCGGAATAAATCATTTTAACTAATCTAGATTCTAGGCATACTAGAATCAAGATTCCTATAGGCCTATTAGATTACAATCTTAACGTCACTCCATTGAATTCAATTTGAAATTGAACCAGTAACGGAACTGACTGGTTCTGCTCCTTCCCCTGTATCACATTTTCGGAATAAATCATTCTAACTAATCTAGATTCTAGGCATACTAGAATCAAGATTCCTATAGGCCTATAATATATATATAGATCTAGATTCTAGAATAAGATCTATTACAATTACAATATAAATAAAAACATAACACTACACTGCTAGTTTAATTCAACAGCTTGGGTTGGTGGAATCTCCATTTCAATTTTTTAAAACGAAGAGAAGCTAAACTAAACTGCTTTTTAATTTTAAATTCTTGAAGAAAATTTAATCGTAGTTGAAATCTAGATCTAAATCTAGATCTAGATCTAGATCTAGACTAGAATTGATCAGAACATCAATCAATGATGCCAAGTAAAAAAAAAAATCTCGCCATGACAACATATAACATCCTTTTCTGTCTCTACCTCCTTGTCTCCTCCCAAAAGAGATGCAATCTATACAGAAGAGGTCAGTATGAGTATTATGTAGCAAAGTAGGTAGACCTAGATCTAGATCTAGGTTAGCATTATTAGGAAGCAGTAGTAGATCTAGTAGTTCTAGAGAATCTAGATCTAGATCTAGAATCTAGATCTAGATCTAGATTTAGATCTAGAAAAAAATGAAAGCAGTGTCGTGTGGTGATAGCTGGCTGGTGGATAGCAGCCTAATCTTTACTTGACGATTTCAGGGCTTTCACATTGAAACTGAAAACTCTGCCTTCATTACAATACAGACAAGAGACAAAATCTGGGAAAATTTCTATTAGACTGTTGTGGTAACTGA